TTTATATAGCCTGTGCTGATAGCAAAACTGTGGGAGGGACCCAGAAGGTCCACTCATTACAGACTACCTGCCGAAAACTACAGGAGGGAGTGGATACAAGACCAGTCACCCTGCACGAGGAGACAGAGCAACAGTGACTGGTCTTTATTACAGGAAGCTCCTGTTCAGGGGCAAAATGTAGTAGTTGTTGTATAACTGCACAGATTTGGAAAAAATACACAGAGGACTCCAAGGCTTAAAAGAGAACTATGGTTTAAGTGTTTTTCCCTATAGTTCTCGTAAGGGTCACGGGAGGACATATACTAGCGTCCTCCCATGACCCAGTGACAGCTGGCCCTGCCTATCTGAGGCAGAGCCAGCTGTGCTCGCCCCCTCCCCCGTCCGTTCCTCCAGTCAGCGCTGGAGGATTGGATCAGGGAGGGGGGAATCCCTGCAGAGAGCCGTCAGTCACACAGTCAGTCATATGATCGAGAAGTGAGCGAGCAACGGTATGCGTTCGCTCACTTCCCGATCTATTGAGCCGACCTGTGACAGTTTCATTGTCACACGTCGGCTTCATCTATGAGGATGAGTGATTTTCACTCACCTCATAGTTCTCCTTTAAGTAAGAATAAACATGCCTCTTGCATTTAGCCAGTATTTGTTTAGACTGGATTCCTGCTTTAAGCACGGCCAAGCAGTGTAGTGTAAGTAGAGGAACATTTAAATAATACGGTAATATTCCATTCTTTAGCTGGAAGTAAAGTATGCACACTGTAAACGTTACATATACGTTTTTAATTTTCTTCACATTTTTTCTGGTATATCTTTACATAATGAAAAATCAAACACTCATAAAAGTTCCCAGTTTGGAAAATCTAAACTCTTATGAATGCCCTTAAATTCAATGCAAATGCATATTTTTTAAACTCATGAAAGCAATGTTTGTATTTCACTTACAACTGTATACAATGTCAACATTCTCTCATCTGAAAGACTTGTGTTAAATAACAAGAAACCACAATTCTAGGCCTGAGAGAGGTATGGCTATCCCAGCTTTATGTGTAAATGAAAATATTAGGAGCCATTTCTAGAAAATGTAAAATTCTGTACATCTGTAATATTATGCTATTAAGACATATCAAGATAGGTACAGGTGTGTACTAAACATGTGTGTAATCTAAAAGGATAAATACATTTAAAATACATTTGGCAAATATAGGAACTATTAATAACATTTACAAATTCATTTGAAACTGTTTCTTTAGGTGATTATAACTGAAAATATTTAAAATACATTTGTTTTTAATCAAAAATAATTCAGACTTTTTTTATCAGGCATAATTAAATACGAATACATAATTAACTGAGGACACTGGCTGACATGTTAATAGATGAAAATGACAGGGCTGTGATCATTATCCTAGCCTCACTACTAAGTCACTGACCGGGAACAAGTATACAGGTTGGATGATTTGAAGCATGCATGTTCTGCGTCCGTAAACTCTGAGAATGATGGAAGGAAGACAGCACTGTGGCTTGCACCTTCAGAAGCAATTCAACAACAGGAGCTCCTATATTTGTAGATTCTCTTTAACCACAGGTGACTTAAAGGAGAAGTATTGGGAGAGTAAAATATACTCTTTCCAATACTTAGAGCTGGCGTTGGACTTCAGCTGTCACACACTGGCTCTATACTGAGAGCTGACTGATTATGAGACCTCTGATCTCTCAGATCATGGATTCTGCCTGCGGAGAACAGTGCCTGTTTGTCACCGCTCCCTGCAGGGATTCCTCCCTCCCCTATCTCTGTTCCTCCAGTACTTGGTGGAGGGACAGACAGGTGAAGGGATGGCCACAGCTGGCTCTGGCTCTAGAGAGGCAGGAGGGTGGATCCTGACAATATTGTCCATATGCTTCCCAGCTGCAGCGCTTCTCTGTACTGTCGGCTCACTTTGGGTCACAGAAGAACATTAGTAAATGTACCCATGTGACTCAAAAGAGAAGTAAAGCCAAAATAAGGTTTGGCTTTACCTTTCTTTTAAGCCATTTGAAAGACAAAGCAGACTGTTCTGAGCCTGAAGAGTCCGGAAACGTTCAACAGTAGTCTGCAATCCACGCCATAAATGATATGGGAACATTTAGATATATATCTGTAAATATTATTGATACATTTTGTTTATATACAATTCTCATACAATTTGTGTTTTGATTTAGTGTCTCTTTACAACTACTTCACAATCGATTTCCACGTATTATATACAATAAATATAATGTACAATAAAATGATGAGGCACGTCTTCATTGTAAAACAATATATTTGTCTTCCTGAAATGTCTCTGGCTGAGTCTAGACAATGCTTTTGATTTTTTGTGGCATTGGTAAAGATCATTTCTATGATTTCATATCACTTCTGCTATTTCATATGCAAGAACAAGAATATTATCTTTAAAATAGAATGTTATGATACATTGTAACATGTGCTATTACCAGTTATCAGATGCGGCCATTAAACTGGGTAAAAATCATTTTATAAAAAAAAAAATCACTGGAGCGGGTTTTTAGAAATTAAAAATCTACCTGTTAAAAAAAATCTACATTGTGCTTTTGTATTAAATCATTCAGTAAGTACAAAAATACTCACTTAGAAAACTCTAACAATGCATTTTTGGGGTAGCACATTTTTGTGCACTCTCCCATTTTAAGAATGCATGCCAATGTACAGTGTAGAAGATTGTGCCTTGTTGAAATGTAAGCTATTAACATAATGACAGAATTAAATGCATTTAGATGGATTTAGAAAATAGAATTAAAAAGAGAGTTTGGAAACTATAACCACGTCTAGTTATTAACGATTTTGTTCTGAAACACTTGTTAGGAGCATTCTCACCACATCCTATAGCCAATCACTTCTCCAGATATGTCAGCAACAGGATCCTGGTTCAGGCTATATGGAGATGTAATGCAGGGACATTTTCTGAGATGCAAAGCGCTCAGGGAAGTAGTATAAAATGCAGGACTATTAAACATGGAAAAGGGGGGTCCAACTAAAGCCCGCATCTCTTGGATCCATAGCAACTTTGTGTGTTGCTATGGTGTTAATTGCAAATCTAGTGACTACATAAAATGATTCTGAGCAGTCTTCATTAAGTTCAGTTTGTGTGTAGGAACCCTGGATAACTGCTGTGTTGTAATACATATTCCAGGCAAGATATAACTACACCCACAGCAGACATCTGGATCCTGAAGACAAGGGGATCAAAACAAGAGAGGTGCACCAAAAGAGAATGTCATCTTCTCCCCCTCTTGTAGGGTTCAGCAGTGCTCACATAATGCAATGTCTACTACATGCCATCTTTTACCTGACTGCCAGCAATGGATTCTTAAATTTCAATATATACAGGTCTTACAATAAATATTACAGATCTTTAATTGTGCTTCAAGTGTTTTGGAACAAAGGATAGAGAGGATAGAGAGGAGATCAGTCGAGAAGATGGTGCTTCTTCTTTTCCTTATGTCAAGTGCAGTGGGAACCAGTGGCAGACTGCCCTGAAACAGCTGATCGGTCCTGAAATGTCACTTCTCTCAGACTGCGATCTCACATTGCACCGCACTCACTCAAGTCGAATAGAAGTGACATTTCAGCTGTTTCAGGGCAGAGCAGTTCTCCTGCACATGCGATTTGCGATGCCGATCTGCCCTGGAACAGCGGAGAAAGCGTTGGAATTCTTCACCTATTCCACCGCCGAAAAACTGGGCGAGATTACGTTAAAATGTGTGACCACGTCACTGGTCACACATTCTAATGTAGTCTCAAACTTTGATAGATCACATGCCTACCTGTAATCATTTAATCAGAGAAATAGATTATAATAGGGAACATTACAGTGTAATATTCCCCATTATAATCCACTTGTCTGATTACATGAAATAGCAGCACACAACTACTATTCCCCCCCCCCATCCTCCCCCGGCGCTCGGACTTACCCAGCCAGAGGACCGTAGCCAGGGAGTTTCGATGTGTGCACTGCAAGGGGCGGGGCTTGTGACACACACACACGTCTCCTGTGACTCACCTCTCCTCCCGCCGCCTGTTACTATAGACGCGGCCGGGAGGGGAGGTGAGTCACAGGACCTGCCCCCTCACTGAGAAGCCCGTCGGCAATGCGGGGCCCCAGTGTTCCAACACCGGGACCGTGCACTGCCCCATATTGCAGGACTGGACCCCACTGAGTCTGTGGGGGTGCCCAGGACCAGACCGGACCCCATTGCCTCAGGCCCCGGTGCCCCGGGAACCGGCGGCAGTTCCGCCACTGGTGGGAACAGGTACATAGAAGCAAATCAAGATTCCTTTTTCTTCAAACTGGGCAAGAGTATCATATCATTTTCCACAGGTCCAGCATAACCAAAGGTCATTCTAATAGTAGGTAGGATTACGCTGCCCATACATATATCCTTTGATATGTGCATGTTCACTGTCACGTGAACCACCACCACCTACTTTGGGAATGTAGACTACCTAAGAAGACTGCAGTTATGCCCTGACAGTATATTTCTTTTGGCACTATATACTTTAAACTCCACATAAGTTCACAGTTTGAAGGAAGTAAAGACATACGGCACATAGTGGCATTGCTTAAGATACAACAGGAACAAAGTGATAGTGGCAAGGTTGTGCGATAAGTTAGGGAATTGGGGTAGGGGTATAATAAGGCCCTGTGATGTCTATTTATATTCCCAGTAACATGGATGTAAGGTACAAGATATGTATCATAATCACAATATTTGGCCTTCTTATGTGTACTTTTTCTCTACACACATCAATTTCTAAAAATAATTCAGGCTTTTTTTTTTTTTTCTAACAGGCATAATTATATACTAATACAGCATTAACTGAGGTCTCTGACTTTGTAAGATTACTTTGCAAAGTGTTATTATACAAGAGATTCTGTATATGATAGTTTGTACAAATGTAATTGGTATGTCAGCAAGTTAAACATTATCAGTCCTATACACAGATGTGCAGTAGCAACCCTTTCATTACAGTAATAAAAGTTATGGCCAGAGTGAAGTCCGTTCATAAGAAGCAACTCTGAAATGCCAAGCAAAGGAATCCAGGTGAAACAGTCTACTATTAATATCACAAAGTCTTGACCGGTTTAGGACTTCTGAGTTCCCTTCTTGTGTCTTTTCTTAGTGGATCTTAGCATTAGGGTTCCTTCGACCGATGTTCCAGGGCTGTCCATCATTTTTTGCCACAGATACTGTTCTTCACCTTGGGCGTCCATCCAGTCAACTTCATTTCCATAACTTATACCTGTAACAAAATAAATCAAACACAGTGGCACATTCAGTTTTAAAGTTTTGTTCAAAGAAAATCTATTGCACAGGGAATCTGATAATTCTACAACAATCAGACCAATGTAAAATGTTCTCTTTGTTGCAGAAGCTGACTTACATTCATGAACTGAGATGACTGAGTGGAATAAGTTTATTTTATCACAGGTACTGCCTTTGTAAGAGCAAAGGCAGTGGAAATAAAAGCAAGCCCTTCTAAGGCTCTACCTATATATTAATATGCTGATTCCCCAAAGTTCATGTTGTCCAACTTTTCAGCGAACGTCCTAGAATGAACAAGTGCAAATACTTAAATTGTGAGTTTCCTAAAATATGAAATACATTGTCCCATAAACATCTTGTGCTTCCTTGAAGATAGTGATTTCTGCAGCCATATAAGATAAATTACATCACAAGCATACCGCCTCTTTTTATGATCAGCTGCAAACGGGAGGCACCTGTAGCTTCCGTGTTTGGAAGTGCTCAAGTTCAGATCGGGTTTGTTCCAAATCTGAACTTATCTCTAGTGATTTTGTACGATTCCTTTATTTACTTCTCTCAGAAAAATACTTTCTTCGTTTTTTCAGTCAGATGAACATTTTGTAGCCTGCAGCTGGAGCTTTAGGCCTCAGACACATGGGAAACCTGTGGATTCTTGTGGCAGGAATCCCAGATAGGTCCATATAGATGAGGACGCTGTCACAGGCTTTCCACATGTAATCGTACAGGATACGATTACCTGCGAATCGGGAGAAATGATTGTCCCTGGAAGCAATCTGTCTGCATTCACTCGATTCCTCTCACTATGAACCACTCCAACCAAGTTTCAATGAGAGACATCTGTCTTTAGAAAACACTAAAGCGAATCCTGTGTCAAGTATTGTATGCCTACTTGTAAACTAAAGAATGTGTATGTGTATATATATA